ACCAAACGAAAGGCGCAAAAAGTGAGGGCTCAAGCACCCGCGTACACTGGTACGATTTTCTGACTTCGCTCCGCTGTCTTTCAGGTAGACTTTTAAGTCAAGTCAACTTCCTACTTCGGCTTGGACGATCGAGTTGTATGGTGCCCTCCGAAGAAACCTTGGATTAGCTGTGATGTGTTCGGATTACTTTTCGTTACAACCTTCCCCTTTATCGTTTCGCTGGGGTTTCATTGGTTTCAAAATCCATTCGTGAATTTCCGAAATAATATACGATGGGACGTATCCGATTCCGGATGCGTTTGTTATTACGGCCTCCACAAGGACCGCCACAATGCGAAGGAAAATACAGAAGGATAAAGGGTAGCTTACGCTGCACCACCCACAGCTCCATCCGCACCGATATATCCAGTGCAAACCCGAAGAAATATGACCGGAAGGCATGTGGATGGGAGTCATTATTGATTCGTAGTCGAACCACACTCCTTCAACATGAACACCAGCAGCATTCCTGTGTGTCAGATTTGGGGATCAGGCGTGCCAGACCTACACAAGGCAGTGGGTGGGTCGTAGTCTGCTCCAAATTGTATGAAATCACTGCGCCTAGCACGGTCAAGGTGACTGTGCACCCCGACTTTCCCAGCAGCCATCTACAGGCTCTTATTGACGGTATAAATGAAATGGCGGTTTTCTACAGGTAGGCACATTGTCAACATTTACATCAGGCGCAGCCAGACTAAGGATATGAAACAGCAAACACTTAAAATGTGTGAACCTATGCACAGGCGGAATCACAAGACAAACTGCAGCGATGATGTGACACACTTGCACTTCGACCGCATTATTGGTCTGGGTTAGGAAATGGGTTAGCAAGCAGCCTGCTAATGTGGTGCAACAGGTCGATGACTGTGCGACACCATCGGCATCGTCAATGCGGGTTTCCATCAGATTCCCCAGCTCGTTCATCTTCTGAATAATACCTACGCAACGAAATTAAATTCATGCGATTTGTGGTAAACAAGCCATATAGATTTACGAAATTATATGGACAATTTGGTGTGCACCAACTTATGCTCAGTGCCGCAATCAGCTCCAAGCAGTAGTTGTGTGATGCGCAATTCACATCTGTCACGTTGGCATACGATAGCATAGTTGAACATGTGACCGTGACCACTATGTGGGTGCTTCTAAACAGCAAAATCACAGGCACGCATTTTGCACTCTATGCGCGTGATCGCCAGGCCGTGAGTGACGCCAATTGTGAGCAACCTGTCACCTTTTCTGGCTTGGCCATTGGCTGAACCAATACCATACGGCCCGGTTACGTCTGTCCACACCGCGGCATCACGCCCAACAGGCGCGTTGAAAGCAACCAGTAGGAACAGCCGGTCACTGCTCCTAACAGATCGTATCAACAACTGAACAATGGATTTATACAGGGAAAAAGACTAAAGCTTAACATGTCCCGCAGGATGATCATGGGCAAAATTCAAAACAAATTATTCTCAGTAAAGTTAGGTTCACACTGGTGTACTCGCCGCGGTATTAGTAGTATAAAATGTAAGTCAACCGTAAGTCAAGTTTAGTTGACGCAAATGTGTATCCGTTTACACCGATTTCGTGGGGGCTGGAGAGCACAAGGTTTGTGTGTCCTGTTGTCACTCTGGGAACCAAAAGCAACTCAGCTAATGCAGGTGGTTAAATGCATCGTGAGGTCCTTTTCAAAAAGCGGGTACCGTGGGTGCAGTAATGATAAAAGTGGAGAGGGCTTCCCAGGGGTGACAAATTCGAAGAGAATATTGGTTCCGGCCGTATTCCAGCCGACTGTAATGCGTAGCCAGTTTTAGTTGGTGACCCCTCAATTTGGTGTTGCGGCTGAAATTCAGGAGATGGCGGCAGGTGTGACCGGGGTTATTTCAAGACCTGGAACACCAGAATGATGTCGCTCCGTAGATGGCGATGACTTCCGCTATACACTCCTAATGTTTTCAGTCGCATATACTGTGGCAGGTGGAGCAATCCTTTCACATTTTTTGTTTCTCTTAGATGTGATGTATCCATTGCAATCAATTGGCTGTTTAACCAGGGTTGCCAAGGCTGAATCGCGTACTCCACATGAGGTCTCACATACGCATTGAGCATTTGGGGGGGGGGGGGGGGATATGGAAGGGTCGAACCGCCCGAACGCCCTTCATGTAAGAGACCAAGCTTTTGGTTGACGGTTTTGGATGTCTTCAAAGACAGCGCCGAACAGCCGAGGTCATCTTGCATCACCAACCTAAGGAGGACAACTGGGCGTAGAACTGGTCTATCGTGTCAGTAGGATAACAGCGCATGGTATGACCATATGTGCCAAGATATAATGAAAATTTGCCTCTTCCAAGTTGTCGACGAATAGTTATCCATCGTAGGCTGAAGCCAATCGGCTCTGCCACCAGCTTGCCATTTGTGTTGTTGGATAGTGCAAATCCGACCTCATGTTGTGGCGTTTCCCACTGAGTAGAACGTGTAGCCAGTACCGCCTCTGTGCAGCTTGCTTTAATCAGCCAGTCGACTCACACTGTGTGAGGTAATATCAGTGGTGTAACGCGCGAGTACCATGGCGACAAGTACCGTGGATCTCCGGGGCACTTACCGGTGCTCCAGTCGAGTAGTGTTCCCACGCTCCAGCACACCATTTCGGCGCTTTCCGAAGAGACAAAGGATTACCCGGGAAATTGCTAGTGTGCTGATTTGTAGTGTAGAAGGTACTGGGTTGGTTGAGAAGGGGAATGGAAGGGGAGAATTTTGAAGTGAAGAAGAAAAAAGGAGGCATCCGTGTCAGCATGTTTTCACTTACCCACCCCGCTGCATGCAGTAGGTAAGGCGATCCTTACCTCCACTAGCCGATGTTTGATACAGTATCGGATTATCGGTAGAGTGACTCATCGAAGGTTACTCGACAAATTGAGAGCCAAAAGCATTGGAGAGCCGATGTTTTCTTCGCTGTCTTTCCATCTAATTGGTAGACAGGTGGTGCACATGGGCGATCATTTCTCTAAACCGAAAGCAGTCTCTAGTGGAGTAGTATAAGAAAGTGTTCTTTTCCCGTACATGTTAACGATGTATTCCAGAGAATTTAGATATGGTGCTACCTTTTTGTTTGCTGATGACATTAAGGTTGTCTACTCACAAGAACATACAAGTACCCAGGCAGCGGGGCGTCTCATTCAGAATGACCTATTTGCCCTTATGTCCTAGTGTCAAATACAGCAGGTATCATTTGCTTTGGACAGTAGTAGTAGTTTGTCGTACAACTAGACAGCCTCTTAGGGAAAGGCACTTAGGTCTTGCAATGCAGGGCAAATCGCGTGTTGGGCGTGCGATATTCGATTACCTATAAATTTCCTGAAAATTGTGACTAGAAAGTTTCTTAGGGCACGAAGACCACTGGATACATATGCTACCATTTTTGTGACACAAAATCTCGCACGTAGCTTTACAAAAGATATGCGTTGCCTTGTACAGAATACTGCTCATTAGTTCAATCAGAGTTCCTATAATCTGAGCAATATGCTATTGAGAGGGTCCAAGGACGTTTCCCGTAAAAGCTATGTGGATTATCCTCAAACATGACATACGGAGAGCGATGTGATAAACTTGGATGTGCCCAGTCTGGCTTCGGAGAATGAAACTGAACCTGTGTATTCTTTATAAAGTTATAAACCATTGAGTGCGTACTTCTGATGCTATCCTTCATTTGTCTATAAAAAAAACAAGAAACCCGATCCTCAACGAAGTGATAAATGTCACGACTGTCATTTTTACTATGGGAATCGGAGAAAGTTTCTCTCCAGTTTACTACTCAAAGATTTGGAATGAAAATGTTGTACACTGCATAATTTTAAGCTTGCGAGCAATGGGCAATTAACCGTACAAAACACGATTAACACGTTCGGGGCTTCACAACCCCTGGATATCACCGAGAACGGTATCAACGGCGTCTGACTAAATTACGAACAACAGATGCATATAAATTTTTGAACCATAGCCTTTTTCGTGTCATTTTTCCCGTCCCAAACATATTTCATGTGATTGTGAAGAATCCTGATTCAATGACAAAAACCAGCAAAATAGTTTTGTTACTTAATTTGTAATTTGTGCCCGAAATTATTTTTGTATATCAATGCAATGGCGTGAAAAGGATGTAACAAGGTTTGATCTGCTCCTTTTAGGGAACCTCTTCTCGCATTGTCGGGAGATATACACTTTAATTTTATTATTTTTGGATGCGGCTTGCAAATGAAGTCGTTGCTTTAGGGGACAGCCCTGTCCCCTGACAATACGATAAGCCACGCGATATTGCAATTAGAGATCACTCACGGCGGTCCACCGTCCTTATCCAGTTCTCAGTTGCCTACATCGCTGGTTCGTACGGGGAAACTCATGGGTTCAAATCAGGCAGGATTGGATTGGTGCACGTTATTGGCGAAACGGTTGCATAGCGCTTTCCTTGGCATGTGATGGCTGCCTGCTTGAGACAAGCTGCGACGAATATTTTCAGAAACACAACCCTACTACGCACAACTAATGACGATATTCTGGTGTACTCATGAGATTAAGAGTAACACCGGAAAGATAATTGCCCACTTGATATGACTCATCAATGCCAATATCCGTGTGCACTAGGTGCATGTATTTGAGCTGTCGGATGAATAACGGATGGCTTAGCTCAATCAGCCTGAATAGCGTTGGCAGACAGATTCCATGTGGAGGATGAAGACCAAAGCACAACCGCCAGGACATGAAGAAAAATCTCCTGTGTCTCTCCATGCTTTTTGTGACAACGGAGAAAAACCTTTGGCTTGCTGTCCTGATTATCATTTCATTTAATAATTACGTCAACCCTTTTAATGTTTTAATTTAGATGTTCACCTAGTAGAATACAACTAGCTGTACCAAGATTCCATGTTGAAGTTATGAGGGTTACTTGATTTTGCTCATGCCAATTATTCAGTCAATAGGTAACTACCAAAATGCTTTAGAATGGAATGCAGCAAGTAATTTGAAGGACCGTGCGGAAGTTCGGAAACTGAACAGATGCGACCGTTCACGATTGTTAGACAAATCGGGTAACCTCAATCCGACGGAGAAGGGGAGTAGCCGCATGTTTAACGGCCTACATTAAAGGCGTACCAGTCTCTACGAGTTCGTAGATCAGCCGAACGTAACTTCTTCCTTTGCCCCCCATGAAGTGTTCCATTCGTCTGCAAGAGCACCCGAAGCACCACGTACGATGGATCCAAACAACTGACCAGCTTCAAAAACAGCTCTAACTATCGGCCTCCAACGGATACACGCGACGGTGGACACGCATCACATGCATCATACTGTGAAGGTATTCCACCTCCCTGCATGAACCATCTGCCTTGAAATGTGAATCCTTGTGATACACTAGAATTAATTCACGAGTAAGCATTTTGCAGCGTTGTTTGTTACCTACTGGACGGTCTCACACAAGAAACATACACGTAGCCACATATCATGGTCATAGGTGTTGCAATGGGAGATTAGGGCTGATGCTGTCAACTGATTACTGGTTGGAAGCAGCAAGTAGAGTTTGCTCTGTGTAGCTGCATCTACTGTCACTCAGGGGCAAAGACCCGATATTTTGTGTTGCGCTGAATATATTTTGCTTCGGCAAAGTGTTTGTCAAGGAGTTTCTTAAATTCCGACACCTACTTGGCCTCAACTACGTGCTGCAGCAGGTCGTTCCATACATTCACCACTCGGAGTTCGAGACAGAGTTGGTGAGCGACCCGCTTCAAATCCGGTACGACAAGCTTGTACCGGTGTCTTCGTGTACTGCTTGGTGTGCGTAGATGAAGCAGCGGCCTCAATTTGGGGTAATCTCCCAGATGTAATATCCGATGCGTCATGATGAGGCCAACCCACATTCGACGATAAGCTAGGGTGTACAGCCTTGGTTTATTACACTGGTCTTCGCACGGCACACCTCGTAAGTTGGGAATCAGCCTGGTGGCTACATGCTGCACTCGCTCAATCGTTTCTACCTCGTCTCGGGTGATAGGACAATACGCGGGAGAGCCATACTCTAGCATTGGTCGTATTATTGAGACGAAGAGGCGTGTGGCAATCTCTTCCGGACCAAGTGCTAAAGCGGCGCCTAAGCACCCAAAGAATAAGAAGGCTGTTTTGGTAAAGCCTATCCTTGATGTCCATGGACTTTAGGTCATAGCGTGAGAGTACACCGAGGTCTCGCACGAAAGGCACAGGATGCAACGGTTGACCGGCCACGGTGTAAATTCGACTGTGCCGACACTTACTCAGCCTCATGTATTGCGGCTTGACCGGAAGGTTGACCTCTGCAGACCACGTGGAGAGGCGGCCGAAGTCTTGCTGAAACAGTTCACAATCATTGAGTGTGCGGATTACTCTCCACACCTTCAAATCATCTGCGAACAGCGCACAAGGTGTTTGGAGTAGCTGAGGCACATAGTTTACATGGATGAGAAACAAAATCGGCCCCAGTACAGTGCTTTGGGGGCACGCCACTGCTCGATGGATACCAGTCGATCAAATAGTTATCCCCCTGGACCCTCCAGGTGGACAACTGATGCGGTTAGTTAGAGCCGACGGTCAAGAGGTCAGCCTGCTGAGGATGGGGAAGAGATATATGTCCTGATTGACACAAGTGTGGATGTCCAAGAGTGGTTACTCTAACCCCAAGTAATGACAGCAATGATGAGATCGAATGAAACAAATCCTGCCTTCTTATTTGAACGCAAACTACTTAGCCGACCTTGTGAACTAAACACCCAGATGACCTCGAAGTGTACTGCGTTATCGCACCAGTTGTCTGCTTCATGTTATTGGCTACGACTGTGGAATCGTAAAAACTAGGTGGTGTGTTAATCGTATTTGGTGAGTGACACGCGTATATAGCGAGAGTACATCTCGTCATATATACCCAGCATGTGGTTCCACTAGTGGGTGCTTGTCCTGAGAGTCATAGTCCGCAGATAACGTTTTAATACTGGACCATGGCCAAGTGTGGCATGTTCATTCAGAGCTGTGGTTGTTTGTCACAAAGTAGCTGTGCAATACCCAAGCACAATTAAACATAATAACTTATTATTGTATTAAATTGACTATCTGTCGGAACATTGTCTAGTTGCGTTTCTAATAGTAGAACAAATGGAGACTGAACAATTGCACACCGACTTTAGGTAAATGTTGCCAGTTGAATTCATGGTCCCAACTGTGATGAAGGAGGGTGGTTGTGATCGCTCTGTTTATGATCTCCACACCGGTATACGCAGTCAGCAGCAAGCGGCCGTTTTGAATATGAAGTCAGATACTAAGACGCATATTTCAGAGCCAATACGGTCTGCATATTCCGGGAGAGCACCAATGGAGCACAAATGTCTATCGTAATCCATGCATAAAAAGCGTTACGGCTTTATCGAGATTCCCTGGTTCCTCGTATTATGGTGTCCACCTTATGCTCTGCCTTGCTATATATCCGAGTGCACTCACGTTAAGCGTACGTCCTTTGAAAGAGAGCAGGCTACACTGTGCCGGTGTGTGTTCCAACTATGGTTGCAAATGGGCAAGTATTGTGTGTGAAAATCGCGCCGATTCCTAGCACTGTACAGTATCAGGGATAATAAGATGAGTTGCACAATCAGGTCTACTTTCGGTGTCTGGTGCGCAGGTATTTGTTGCACGGAAACTATAAAACAGTAATTGTTCTATTGCCGAATTACAACAGTGAATAGGCTTACGGGTGGTCGACCCAGAAAATACTTGTCTTTAATCCCGTAAGTGTGAAATAAGGAGCATATACCGCCAGAGCAGCAACCAATATCGACTGGGAGCACACGTCCTGCAGTGCGCTTCTCATGAATGTGATCATGGGGTGCTCGCTCAGGACGATCTCGAATGAGCAAACCAGGCTGAGATGGCAGTGGAAAAAGCCAGTCAACACTTTAACCCAACTGTAGTGGGTGTTTGTCCGGTTTGGTAATGCCATCTTTTCGCAAATGCTCAATGGTTACGTGGGACCATACGTTGAATACGCCATTCAGGTGTGGCAGCCCTGGCAAAACATGACCTTAGTGATTTTGGGAAGCCACAACAAAGGGCGACAAAAGATCTCAAGGGATTGCTCCACCTAACTTATCAGTTGAGACTAAAGACGCTAGGAATTTTTATTGAATGATATCGTCTTCTGCGAGGTGATCGCATAATGGTGCATCAGATACCCAAAAACCCTAACCATCCAGCAGGCCTTTATTGAAACGCAACTACAACACATCACTGAGAGACCACTATTTAAAGTTGGTTACACAGTAGAGCCCTTTGGAATGCCACCGGAACTTTTTCTCCTTTCGTATATCTCAGCTGTAGAACTTACTTTCGTATTTTGTTATATCTGCTTCTACGTCGCCAGAATGCAAAACTCGATTTGATGATGCATTACGTCACATGCGTTACAGGATTTAACCCGAGTTACTGTGACACGGGAAAAGTAACTAAACCATGTGCATAAGTGAAATGTGCGATAAGTCCACGCTACGTTTAGTTCCTTTTTTGATACATCCATTGTTGCTCTCACTCGCAACCTACGGAAAACTGTTAAGCGTTTGTTTTCATTTCTGTGATAAACCCATTGTTCCATATGTTAGCATGTGTGCATTTCGTTTAAGTTGGTACACTCATGTGCAGAGCCTTACTCGTGTACACGCATTTGGTCACAGTTGCTCATTGATCCGGACTTGGCTATAAGTTATTTGCGAAATTCCTGCTTGAGTTCCGCTGCACCCTCGATGACTCAGAAGAGAACCACTAAGGATAAAGGGGGGAGCCCTCGAGGAAACCCTAAGCAAAGAAAACAAAGAAATGTCAGCGCCACATCAAGAGTGAAACGAACGCCAACTTCCACAGCATCCATTGCGCATGAAGCAACAATACCGTCAATCAATCACATGTCGGAGGTCGGTGAGTTGATGTAATGTGGACAATTCTTCAGGTGTGCTAAAGCGGCTACAAAGACGTTTGCACTCATTTGGTCCGCATGGTATGACAACTGGTACTGTAGTATTCCGTATACGCGGAGATGAGTCTGCGACAGGTAAAAAACACGTAATTAAGAATGCGGTTTTTATTAGCAATTTATGAATTGCAACGAGATGCTAGTGGCGTTCGACGCTTTGTTTAGGCGGCTGGTGTACTTATATGGGAACCATAATTTTTCAAATCCTTCGTGAGCTCACGGGGCGAGATCATATTGCATTCCTGCATCACCCATTAGAGTACAAGAGTAACCTGGTGTTTGAAACATTACATTGAATTTGTTTGGGAACATCGTCTACTTAACCTCGTCTGTACTTCAAGTGGAAAGGGTAGTACGCAGTCACCATATTTACATAGGTACCATCTATACCTTTGAGGTTGGAGGGTTCGGGAATGGAATCTTCCGCTGGCCCAGTTTCCCACAAATACAACGACGACATAGGTAACCAGAACTAGCGTTGATCCAAGTTAGTATTGAATAACAAGGTGTACAAAGCACTAGTTGTAGTAGTTGTTGTGTGTGTGTCAGAGTCACCCAGTCGCGTCAAAACTAAGAAAATACAACAGATCCGCACACAAGCGCTCTATTCTGTACAATTAGCTGTTTTTAAAAACTCACTCACTCGATCACCTGATCGAACAAACTGAGTCAGACACACGGCTTGGCTGTAACAGCTTGGGGCTGCCTGTTTGTTCAACGATTTACTGACGCGCACAAGAACCTGACGTTGCTCCCTCACCAGCTATCACAAAAATAGTGTTATTAGAACGGCAACTGCTGCCGAGGTAAGAAGCTAGATAGTATAGGTGGATATACTCCGAACTACACTCTTAATGTTTTCAGGCGTGAGCCTTTTTACTAACAGCTGGTTAAGTACGGCAAGCTGGTCAGATCGTTTACGTTATATACAGTAAATAACTTAAAGTCCAGAATCAGAGAGATGCGTTAGTGCGGACCGCCAGGTAGCGTAATCTGTTTGCCTACCTTTTAATCTACTGTCCCTGCTTCTGTTGCATATTCTAACTTCTCAGCAGCGATTGTGGTTGATCGTTGCTACAATACAATATAGAAGCGATTGCTTGTAAAATGTAATCATTCGAATGTTCAAGAGTGACTGCGACGTAAGAATCACCAAACCGACAACACATGCGTTGCAAAGTTCCTCTATAAGCTAAGAATACAAGCATTCGCATCACATTTGCTCAACGCAGTGGAACAGACAAAGCAAGCATCGATGATGACTGGTGCGAAATGTATACAGAATTTAAAGACAGCAGTCAACAGCAAATAAGATGACGGAGTGAGTAGACTCACCAAGTGCGAAGAACAAGCGGAGCCACATCAAGTTAGATAGTGACAAGTTCTGAGACGAGCACAGCGTTCATCGTGAAACCAGTTAAAACACGTAATTTAGTGAGAAAAATGGCAAGCAGTAACCAAAAAACCGTGCAAATGCGTATGGTGTCTGTCCGAATTTTAGATTGTGGTTGTTTCTGGAGTCAGAAGCCACAAATAAAGCACCTCAGTATGACTAGTCCCAAGTTCGTGACAGACTCAGCATAAATAATTATTCACTTAGATATTCACGTGAGATTGACGTCACCATGAATATACCGGTGGAAGTACGGTTGTTTCTATGCAGACGCAAAAATCGGAACATTGGCTCGTCGTGCGGAAGATAATAAATCATTTTTATTCACAAGCAGTCACATATGAAGCACTGTGCTCGATCGGTTCAAATCTGAACCCAGAAACTCAGTACGAAGTACATCTACGAGCGGCGAACTGGTAAACTTTTAACCTTGGCCGCATAGCCCAATACTCCTTCCGACAGGAAGGACCCAGGGTATACTGTATTTCCTGTACTAAGATTCAGCTCCGAACAGCTTGAGCAAAATTTTTGACTACATATGAGGAATGCGTCGGAATGTAAAAACTGCGATTGTCGTTGACTGCTTTCCAGAGGAACAGCTGTAGACTCTTAAGGTTGTTTACAACGTAGAAAACGTGCCGAAGTGTGGAAAGTAGTGTGGCCATCAATTTCTATGTTAGCGACCGCTTGATACAAGTTGATCTATTTCAATTTGCATAACATAACGATCTACCGGACGTCCGCGATAGTTTTGTTATCGTGTATCACGTAATCCACATGATAATAGGATGTAAAGCAACCGCAATTTGTCAATGATGTGTGAAGCAGTTGTGAATTTGACGAGACAAATAAGCCAAGCCATTTCAATGCCGCTGCTTGTGCGTACCAGTGTACGCAGCAGTCATACTAATCTGCGTGCAACAGTAATACATCCGACCGGTGCTTCACAGACTTATAGATAACCTAAGCACAAATGAACCAATAGTGCATTACATATCCAGGAAGTATTGAAGCAAAAGTTAGTGCTTTTAATGTACGCAGTTTACGTGACGTATCTTACACTCTATTATACAGAGCAAGAAGACCTGAGTATGTTCACTGAGTCGAATCTGCTATCTTTGGCGAACCTGATCAAGGAACCACAGCAACTGGCGGAAGCACTTGGTTTCTCGCCATTGGATATTGACAACATAAGCAGAGAATTTCCGTCTGGGGCAGTAGAAACTGCACACAAGGTACTCAGTCTATGGAAAAATCTTCACATCGGGCGACCGCATCAGAGTGGATCAAGTATGGACGGTGAAAGCAACAGTGAACAGCTCAAGGGGTCCGCAGTGGATGACCTCATAGACGTGCTTCAATCGTTGGGTTATTTTGAGGCGGTGGAGATGGTCAACGGGATGAAAAAGGCGCATACTCCGTACAAATAATTCATTTAGGTCAAAAGGTTTTGATATTATGAGCTTTTATGTGGAAAACTTTCTTCTTCAATTTGACCTACTGGCACACACTTCGGTTCACAATGATCCCCGTGGTGACAATTCAGTTTTTATTGAAGCAATAAAGCAGTGCCATCCCCAACTAAGTATCCGTTTGTTTTCGGATGTCTCGCAACAGAATTGTGGTGTGGAACATAATGGCAGTGAAGAAACAGATAGGACACGTAAATGCAACTCAAGCGCATTATATCTAGCCTGTGATAATCGTTTCCCCTCATACTAACTAAGACATAGCGAAAAATAAAAATGTGAGAAGATGCAATGTTTCAACTGAATTAACTGCATATATTAAACTACGTGTATTTTCTTAGCGGTTTATACACTGCGGGGGAAAACTTCAAACGGTTGGAAGTGACAGATCGATGTCGGAAATCGATGCTTAGCTGTGCCAGTGAAGTTATCGAGCCATACCAAGGCAAAGCAAAGTTGATCGCAAACTGAAGCAGTGTGCATAGACTAGGCTTAAAGTGCTGGATGGCAGAAGCTTCAGAGATTTGGAGTGCTTCTGCTTGTTCGTAACGTTGAGTGCCTCGCGGGGTTTTGGCACATCGGACAGTAAAGCAAACGCCGGCCCACAGAGCTAGCAATGTTGTGCCACTCATAGCTAGGTAGGTCACAGCAAGATATTTTGGGAAACAGAATTTTCTCTCTCGAAAGCTTAGCTTGAAAGCAGCGTTCAAAGGAAACCGTGCAGAAAACGGTTGAGTTTGTCAATTTTTGTGCTGTCAAAAGTGATACTCAGTCCATGAATATCGCGAAACCTTGGATATTCAGATTTTTTGCCTAAAACTCGGTTACATCTCTGGAGCACTGTTAGTTCCCTGCTTTCGTTCTGTCAGGCGTTTTATCCTGATATTGTCAGTCTTCTTCTGATCCAATGCGTTCGCAACCCCCGAATAACTCGTAACCCCGGTTAAACGGACTTCTCGTCCGTTTCAGTTTTTCCAATCTTTTTTTATTTTCCTAGGACACTTCTCCCCACTCATTGACGCAGCTGCTCATTCTCTGTAGCACCGTTTACGCCCTGCTTCATCTCTGGCAGGTGGTTTACCCCGTGGATTGCTACTTTCTACGTTTGGTGGGTCAAAATCTGTAGGAACGAGTTAAGTCTAGTAAGGCCCGATCGAACCCTCCGTTGTTTGCGTCCTAGGCCACCACAAACCGGTTCATGTATTTCTTGTCCTTAACCTCTTTTATACATTTCCATTCCCAATAGTTAAATGAGTCTGTCTTAAGCCGTACTCGAGTCTACCACCAGCTGAGTCAGACACAAGGTGGTGACCGAGTCGACTGGTGGAATGCAGTGTGACATCTGCAGACGTTGGTTTCAAGAATGATGCACTGGCTTGAATTAAGAATGATATAGTGTCATGGAGAACAGTGAGGGTTTGCTTTTTGGTTGTCATACTTGTTGCAAGCACAAACCTCGCTGTTGGCCGCTTGCTGATGCATTTTCGGCGCTTAATTCCAGGTTGGAAAGTATGGAAAACCTACTTTCATTGTTGCCCGACTGTTACAGCCGAGCGAAATAAAAGAGGAGTACGAAGCAATGGAAACATATGGTAAGATCAATTAGTCATGCAGGTGCACACTTGTTTGGTGGGTAAGCAGACAGCAGTATTTATTGGGTTCGGAGTCGGTATCTTGATTGGACAGCATATGTCAGTAAGCGCAGTGAAGGCAAGGAACGAAGCACACACGCACGTACGCATGCATTGCGCGGTCAGCCGAAGTAACATGACGCATCAGTCCTTCGCCCTGTGATTCCAAGTATCCAGGCTGGAAGCAGTCGACCGGTGGGCGGTCACGGAGTGACCCAAGCAGTGGGGCTTCACTCTCTGACATGGAGTCATACGCACGCGTGCCGCAGGTCCCTAGAGATGGCCTGGTTGGTTCAGATATTGACTCGGAATTTGACGGCCTTTGACCCACGTGATCCAGGTGGCGTCTCACTTAGTTGCCGTCCTCAGTAGTCGGCTCTAAGATCTGTCCATTAGCTATCTTCACAACACCCAGCTGCCATCCGAGTTCTGTAGGCAAACTTACGTAGACCGAACCCGACTCTGCTGCGGCCCTGTGTTTACCGTGAGCAGTAAAATGTCCTTCAACCCGTTCGTGTTTATTGAGGACTTCAGATCTTAGAGTACCGTGTAATAATTCTAGTCGCGTATGCAAACGACGGCTGAAAAATTACCTCCACAGGACTTCTTCCGGTGGTATCGCTTACCATATTTCGGTAAGTAAAAGGGGCACGAGCCACGCACGCACGCAGTGGCGCACTCGTTTTTTAAGCAGACTATTTTTCACGGTTTGCAGAACTTCTCAGCCAAGCCATCTGAAAATGGATGATAAGGAGCAGTAGTAAGTTGTCTAGTTCCATTTGCAGCAAGGAAAGTGAAAAATTCTGCACTGGTAAACGCAGATCCATTGTCCGACACTAGTGTTTGGGTGAGTCCAAGGGTAACGAATGTAGGGCGTGGTTTGATTATGATGCTGGCCGATGTCATTGTGGCCACAATGTGGACATCAGTTCACTTAGATTGAGTATCAACGACTAAGAAGATAATTTGGCTTTCAAATTGATCAAAAAATGCTGTGGGGACAGGTATCCAGGGCGTTTCTGGCCATTTCCAAGGCTACATCAATACCCGAAGGACAGCGTTTTGAGATTTCTGATAGAGCAAGCAACGCTCAACTTTTGCCGCAATATCACCATCCAATTCGGGCAACCATACATAGAAACGGGAAAGTGCTTCATGGTAACAACTCCTGGGTGCGCATCGTGAAGTTCTTCCAAGATGTTTGATCGTAATCTTTTAGGGATCACGATGCGCACATCCCACAGCAAACATCCGTTTTAGAGACTGAGTTCAGTTATCCGATGACGAAAAGAAATAAGTTCTGCGGGTGTTTTCGGGCCATTCAACTTGAAGGTAACGTTTTGTCTGCACTAATAACGAATCGCTGTCGGTCTCCTGAGGTATATCTGTGGACGTGACGGGTTTCTTGTTGAACAACTGAATTAGATTGCCAAGCATTTACGGAGTAAATTCCTCCAAAGGCACTAGTTGTGCCGGCCACTCACAGCGAACCGAGCTCCTAATGCGTCAAAAAATACAATGCTGCTACACCAACACTCAAGCGTTGTATTCTAAACTCTCGGAACTGTGCCCTCGACATGAAACAACTTCGGACCTCATAGCAGTTACCGAAAATTGGCTCTCAAACGACATACTTGATAAAGAGATTGAACTCAGTGAAATGTCAGTCATACGAAATGATCGTCCATCTCGCGGTGGCGGTGTTGCTCTCTACTATCGAGATTATTTGAAATGTGAGGCCCTTACAGAAAATTCCCTTGTTATTTCCGACGCCCTACTTTGCCGACTGCACCTAACAGGTCGAGATGTTGGTTCACAGAAGACGAGTGATGCTTGCCTCTTAGCAGTTATCTATAGGCCTCCGAACTCATCCGCAGACAGCGATAACATCGTTAAACGCCCTCCGCTATGCTGTTTCACAAAAGTACTTTCACTATCTTATGATGGGTGACTTTAATGTGCCTTCAATAGCATCAAGGTCCCCTAATGGGATATCATTTAAATCGAAACTCCGTGAATTCATGGATATGGCAGTTTTGTATAACCATGTGCATCGACCAACCAGACACCTGTTGGGTGGAGCCTGGGATACTAGTCGGTAAGCAATGACACGTAGTACGTGTCAAATACGACAGTATAGAAGTCGGAGGCGACTGAACCCAACGTATATTGTGCAGGCTACAAGAATAGGAAGCGAATCAGACAGAGCGAGAAACGTGCAGCGAGGTACTCACCAAAACGGTTTGTGTCTACGGATGTGCAGTCAGTAAAACAAGTAGACGTTTCGAAGGTTAAAACAACCGTAAAATCCAATGTTACAAAATACTGAAAGAGCTTGTTTTCCGGTACACTACAAGGACCTCCCATTAGAAGGCTGAAGAATGGAAGCCTTCGATGGAGCTGTTAGTGGGGGAAACGGAAGGTGAGGGTGGATGCGAATATTTGCAGGGGCTTGAGTAAGGGCTTTCAAAGTGGGGTGTGTAGCAGATTTCGCTGGGTCCAGGCTTTTGTTAGTTATTATTTATGACGATCGTGTGGACCAGAGTGCATCATCGGTGGGCCGTCGGGGCGGGCTGGTCGGACTGCAAAAAAAACTGGCTAGTCCAGAAAAAAGGCCGACAGGACCTTCGCTTTGCTGCAGACCCGGCGGTGCGCTTGGGAGGTGTCACTCCCCCCACCGCACTTTAGTCCACGGTCCTCGTCCCACGAAGAAATCCAGGCGTCCTCGTCGACAATGCCTAGGCGGCGTTTGGGGACCAATCCGTTCGTGGGTGTCTGCGGTCGAGGGCGACTGTCTGTTCCTTGGGTGAGGAAGGGGGCTTTGGGACGGCTGGCGAGTCACTCCAGGGTTGCGTTGAGCCGGTTGGCGAGTCACTCAAAGGTTCCCTGGACAGTTCCGGCGGTTGAGTTTCTGCAAGGTAGAACTCAGAAGGGGTGGGCAAGGGTCGGGGAAGTGGCTTGACGCCGGAGAGGAAACATGGTATGCATGATAAAAGCAAATACGCTTTTTGGTTTTCAATGTTTTGGGTTTTTTGTCGATTTTGCAAAACGTTTGTGGATGAGACGCAGGATAACCACTAGACGAAAAAGGCGTGTTAATGGAAATAGCAAACGTTTACAAAATCTGAAAAACGGACCGGACGTTTAACCTGTCTACCGCGTCGGTCGGTTGCCTGGGGTTGCGGCGGGATAGGTTGCGGGTCAAGGGGAACGGAGGGTTCCGGGCTATCCAGTGCTCGGGAAGTCACCACAGTTGCGGGTGCTTGTGCGAGAGCATCAGGATGGGTTGCAAGTGGCTCGTCAAAGAAAGCCACTTTGAGGCGGTCGATGAACACCGTTGTTCGGTGACCATTCTGGTCTAAAGTAAAATGTTTCGGAGTCCGTTGCAGAACTCTGAAAGGGCCAGTGTAGGGAGGCTGGAGAGGGCGCCGCACTGAGTCGGTGCGGAGGAAGACGTGAGTGCAGGTAGAGAGTCCGCT